GGGAGGGAGGGAGGGAGGGACAGACTTCAGTGTGAGAGAGCAACACTGATGGGCTGCCTCCTGCAGGTGCCCTGACCGCGGGGCCAGGGGTCAAACCTGCAACCCAGGTGCCTGCCCTTGGTCAGAAACCCAGCTCCTGACCCCCTGCCGGGCGGCCGACGCTCTGCCGCTGAGCAACCCAGCCAGGGCTGGTCGAGGGGTTTCGAATTCAAGAGCAGGCTGCTTCCTCCGGGAGGCGCCTCTGTGCTCCCCCTCACTGGAAGGTGAGCCTGGCGCCTGGCTTTGGGGCACTGCCCGTGCCCTTGGGCAGATCCCGTGGGTGAAGAAAGAGGGCATGAGGATGGCGCTGGGCCGGCCCTGACGTTCGGGGGACGCAGCTGCCCCTCCAAAGCGCAAGGCGTTCCCTGCCCGGGCCCACCCCTCTGCTGCGAGGTGCTGGCCGCAGGGAGGGGGCGGCTGACGGCGGCCCCCACACGGCGGCTCGCCCGGGGTCGCCGCTGAGCGTCTGTCGCACACGCGGGAGTTTCCTTTCTGTTCTCTGCCGCTGTTGCGCCCCACGGCGGTGCCGGTGGCGGTCCACGGTGCGGTTTAAATAAACGACTTAGAAAATGCGAAGGAGCCCTGGCCGGTGTGGCCCAGGAGCGCCGGCCGGGACACTGAGGCCGGGTTAGATCCCGGTCAAGGGCACGCACCCGGGCTGCAGGCCGCCCCAGCCCCGACCGGGCCGTGTGGGAGGCAGCCCCTGACGTGGGACACACGTCGATGCGTCTCTCTCTCCCCTTCCACGCTCTCTGAAAAGCAACGGAAAAAAGGTCCTCTGGTGAGGCTTAAAACAAAACAAAACAAAACAACAACAAAAATGCTAAGGAGCCCTGGCCGGCTTGGCTCAGTGGTTAGAGCGCCGGCCTGCGCACGGAAGGGTCTCGGGTTCGATGCCTGTGGGAAGCAACCAATCAACGTCTCTCTCTCACACAGATGTTTCTCTCTCCCCCCTCCCTCCTCCCTCCCTCCTTTCCACTTTCTCAAAAAATCCTGAGGTCAGGATTAATGACAACAACCACAAAAAAACCAAGGAATTGCCAAATAAGTGGCCGAGATGGGCCTGGAGCTGGGCGTGGCAATTGGAGCCTAGGGCCTGGGCTCCCTTTGGGGAAGGGGAAGCCGCCCTGGGAGGGGGGCGGGCGGAGGACCATTTCTCTGCCTTCGTCTCTTCCATGCTGGTGGGGAAGGAGTGGGGGGGTCGCTGATGTCTTGGCTGCCCAGCGTCTGAACCTTCCTCCCATTGGGTGGGCTTTGGGCCGCCTCCCCTTCCCGAGGCCAAAACAGTCCAGATGCTCTTTCTCCGAGCCCCTGGCCGAGAGTGGCAGGCACGTGGCCCGAGCTCGGCCAACCGGAGGCTCCGGCCCGGGGACCCTGTGCCCGGGGTGCATCGCAGGGAAGTGGGGCGGTCTGGAATGCTTGGCCCTGCTCTCGGAACCCGGAACCCGCGCTGCTGTTCTAACTGGACGTCCCCGTGGGACCCCGGGCTGGGTCCTCCTGCCTCTGCCTTGACCCTGGGGGCCGCCCAGGACCTTCCTGCACATCCTTCTTCCCCCTGACCTACACCACCGGGGGTCTTTTATTTGTCGTCAGGCCCCTCGCCAATGGGTAGCTGAGTTGTTTCCGAGTTTTCACTCTTAGAAACAACGCTGACGTGGCAACCTTTGTTCCCATCCCTGTGCACACACGTGCGAGGCTTTACGGAGGACAGACTCCCTGTACCTGCTGTTCCTTCCCCGGAACGCGCCCCGTCCTGTTCAGAATCCAATTGGAGGCGGTCCCAGCCGGCACCGCCACCGCACACCCGGGTTTCCATCACCACGGGCCCAGTTTCAAGTGCCCGGTGTGTGTGTACTTGCGATCACTGCCTGTCTCGCCCGCTAGCCTGGGGCTTCGTGAGGACAGGGACCGGGTCTGCTTGTTCCCTGTACCCCGGGGCCCGGCACACCCAACATATAAACGCAGAAGAGACTCACTCGGTAACCCTTTCTGCATGAAGGAGAGGACCTGGGGCCACTGCACGGTTTTAATGATCCGCGACAAGGGACAACAGAGGGCTGAGCAAGTGAAAGGCGGTGGAAATCCAGCAGCCACGACGATCGTGTCTTCTCACTCACTTCCTGACCAGCCAGCCAGGCAGCAGGGAAACTGGGGGTTCTCGGCCTCCGGGCTGAAACCTTCCAGTACTTTCTTTAAGCTCAGAGAGAGAGTGATCAGTGGCAGCAGGGGGCCATCTGGAGGCCGGTTGTGAGAGGTGGTTGCTTGTGGAGAGAAAGGAGCTCGGCTCGGCCCCCTGGGAGGGCAGCCTCCTGCCTAGTCCAGGGCTGAGGAGTTGGTCAGGTAGAAGGGGCGGATCACGGCTCGGAAGCTGCTGAAGGACCCCTCCGGGCAGGGGAAGAGGGAAGCTCTCCTGGAGCTGTTGGTGTCCAGGGCATTGGGGACCATGGCCTTCCCGTTCTTGAAACCCGTGACGTCGGCCACGAAGCGGCCCTGGCAGAGCATGAGGGCTTTGTTTTCATAGCCAATGGTGGGATCCGAGTAGCCAGACTTGGAGAGGCTCAGGACAGGGACCTCGTCAGCGGAACAGGAGACCCCATAGTTCCAGCAGCTCTGGACAGTGGGGAGGTAGATGAGAGACCAGGAGACCTGGCTGGACTGGAAGAGGAAGCTGGGGTGCGGTGGGGTGTTGAAGGACTGGTAGGTGTTGTCCCTGGTGTGGTAGGACCTATAGCTGTAGAAATTATTCTGATAGGGGGAGGAGTCTCGGGATCTATCCTTCACAGACCCGCTCCAGGTGGGCGAGGTGTAGAGCCGGGGCTGGTAGGCGTCCGAGGAGAGGTTCAGGCCTCGGAACTGGGACAGGCGCCCCAAGGACACGGTGTGGAACTCCAGGGCCTGTAGGACCTTCTCCTGGAAGACGGCCTGGTGGCTCCAGTACAGGCTCAGGTTGAACTGCAGCTGGAAGAGGTCCTCGGGCAGGATCATGGGGAACCGGACCCTCTCCACCAGGCCTTCCACGTCCCTGTTGGTGGTTCCCGTTTCCTGGCTCCAGGCGTCCAGGGCCATCAGCAGGGCCAGCTCGCTGGGCACGGCCAGCTCGCTCCTGGAGAGCAGAGCTTGGAGCAGGGCGGTGGGGACGCGTGGCCAGGCCTCGGACCCTATCAGGGCCCCGAAATTCCAGGCCAGGAACTTTACACACAGCTCCTCCAGCAGGGGGTCCTGGGTGGCCAGTGCGTAGGCGTGGAGGTCCAGGGCCGTCTGGAAGGAGGGGTCCTCGGGGAGGAAGAAGGAGAAGAGGCCCGAGCAGTAGCTCTGCAGCTGCTCAACCCCATAGGAAAAGGCCAGCTTGTGGAGACACCTCACGGTTGACAGGGAGACATCGATCCTTCGGGAATAAAAGTACCTGGAGGGGTGGGTGGAAGCTAAAAGCCTGGCCCCATCCCTTGCCCCGAAGGACAGCAGGACAGCTGGGGGGGGGGGCCCACCTCTCTTGCTTGGGCACCAACAAGTGGGTGGGTCCCTGGAGGACGCTGCTTCACCTCCCAACCCAGCCAATCCCCCACCCCCGGGTTCCTGCCTGCCCCTCAGCCTTCAGCAGGCACCTGAGTGGTGGGCATAGGGGTCATAATGGTTCCCTGGCCCTGAAAACACCCTGAAAAGTAGAAAACAGTATCAAAGGCTGGGGTGGGGGCTGTTAGTGACCCTGAGAAACCACAGAAACTGGCAAGGAGCGGGGTAACTGACAGAGGTCTTGGTACAGAGCTGCGTGTGGCCACAGGGCAGCAGGAAGGGGAGTGTCTGCTCGCTGGCCCCTATGGGGAGGGATCTCCTGAGGCCTTCTGGGGCCTGGACAGGGCCAAGAGGCCAGGACACCTGAGCCTGAGCTTTGCCAGAGGCTGGCTAGGCACCTGCCTCATTCTCAGATACGTCCTAGAAATAAACCCCATCAGGATGGCTCAGGCTGTCCAACAGGTTCTCACAAGTGGCTGGAAAGAAGCTACGCTAATCTGTTTTAAATGCCATCTGTTAACTCCTGCATGTCCCTTTCAGCCATAGAAAGCCGTGGAGGTCATCAGAAGGAGAGAGGGCAGTTTTAATACATGCGATTCTTTAAGTCCATGATTTCAAAGCACATCCCCTCAGAGGCACGCACCTTGGTGACAATGTGGACACGCGCTAGCAGGGGGGTTTGGGGGTTCCTGGGACACTGACACGCCCAGAGCCCCACCCCGAGCACACTCACCTGATTAAGTCTGTGACGACAGGCAGGCACTCAGCGTCCACCTCGATGGTGACCGTGCTGCCTGGCTCCTTCCACAGGGCCTGGGCCTCGGGGTTGCTGGCCAGGATCAGACTGTGGGCGCACATGCGCAGGTGCTCGGAGCCCTCCACTGTCACCTCAATGGACAGGTCGCAGCCCCCCTGGCTGTCAAAGATCTGCTCGAGGGCCTCGGGGAGCTCGCCGGTCAGGTCGAGGGTACGGGTGCCTCTGGTTTCTAAAAAGGGCAGAGGGAATGTGCCGGGCTTGCTCAGGCGAGCGTGGGCCCATCACACGCCTGCTCTGTGACCCGGAAGTACTTCTCCTCCTTGGAGTCAGTTTCTTCCCTTAAATGTCAGCCTCTGACCCTGCCTTAGCTACTCCTGGGGAGACGAGGGATGTCTGCTCTGGAAGACAGGGTGCTCTGGCCCACAGTCCTCCCAGCCCACCCTGTCGAACACCCCTGCTTTACTCATCTGCTCCCCCGGATCCAGGCAGCCCCTCCAGGTGGAGGACTTGGAGATGCTGACTTCCAGAGCCCGAGGCCCCATCCTTTTAAAATCCCACCCAGATGTTACCTCCTGAAACCAGACCTCCTCCCTGGGGTGACGTCGAAGCCTGAGGGTCTCTCAGCAACCCTAGTGCTAGAACTCTCGGTCCTTAGCAGCCACCTTCAGGGCACCAAGGGTGGTTCAAGGGGACTCACGCCCCTCCCAAAGCATCACTGGGAACTAAATCCACCTGTTCTCTCTTTGCCACAATTAGGTTTAGATCAATTGCAACATTTAAACTGGTGGGCTCAGTCCCCTCATTCCTCCCCACACCCCAGACTCTCAGGAGCCTCCTCTGGCCACCACTCACCGCGGGATTCGGCTATCAGTGCTTCCTGCCCTGCACCCCACCCCAGCCCAGGGGCCCCCTGCACCCCTCCCCAGTGCGAGCCCTCCACTCAGCTGCTCTGTCCTTCCGAAGACACCCTGGCTTCCCTTGGAGCACCCCCCAGGCCCCGTGTGCAAGTCCAGGAAGAAGCCCCAGGTGGACGTGAGGGAGCAAAGAACAACCATAAAACTGGGACTCGGGACTGACAACCAGAGCAGCCCAGGCTCCTGTTGGTCTGACGGAGCAGGGACGGGGATGGCTGGGCTGTCTGTAACAGGCCTCCCACCATCAAGAAACTTCCCCAGCCCGGCTGGTGTGGCTCAGCGGTTGAGCATCAACCTATGAACCAGGAGGTCACAGTTGGATTCCGGGTCAGGGCACAGGCCCGGGTTGTGGGCTCAATCCCCAGCAGGGGGCGCNCGTCCCAAGCGACAGCACAGGGGCGAAGGAGGCAGGGCTCTGCGAGCTTCCCAGGACCCCGACGTGACCGCAGCGGCGGTCACTGGTGCAGACACCAGGCTTTGCCTCAGTGCCCCAGGATCCCCAGGGTTCCTGACTCCGCCGGGCTAGGGCCCAGAGGATTCGCATCACTGAGTCCCCTGGGCTGCGGGCGCTGCCGGTCGGACCCACTCTGAGAACTGCAGGTTTACAGGGCCTGAGCGGAAGCCGCCCTAAGCTGGCCCGTGGTCTCAGAGCTCCCACTCCCTCCAATTCCAGCTCAAAACAAGACCCATGTCTTGCCCCAGGGGCCTCCGTAGGAGCCTCTGCCCCGCCAGCCCGGGCGCACATCTGGCCCGGGCACATCTGGCCCGGGCACATCTGGCCCGGGCACATCTGGCCCGGGCATGGAGGAGAGGGGAGCAGAGGCTCTCCACATTCCTTCCTGGGTCTGCGACTCCCAGGCGTGGCCCCTGCCCGCCCACCCAGCGACATTCTTCCAGATCAGCTGCGGCCACATTGAACCTTTTCTGCCCAGCTCTCAGGGAGGCCTGGGCTGGCCACCTTCTCCCTGGGCCACGTGGGTGGAGCAGGAGGAAGTCACCTCGAGTTCCAGGCATTTCAAGGAGCCACAAGCCTGTCGGTGGCCCAGACCTGGGCGTGAGGCCTGAGCGGCCAGGACTTGCCGTGGCCGGAGGGATAGTGTTTCCAACGGGGCCCATGCTCCTCACCCCCACCACAGGCTCCCCAAACTCCTAACTGTGGCAGAGGAAGTGGGGATCCCCTGGCTCCTTCCTGGGATCGCCCAGATGTGCTCAAGACGCACCCAGGCACCCGGGGGCTAGTGCTTTGCCTCTGGTCCCTGAAACTCCGGGCTCTGCTGGTTAGAGGTTTCAGTCAGTCATTCCCTCATTTATTTTTAATCGTCACCCAAGGCCATTCTTTTTTCCACTGATTTTTAGAGAGAGGGAGGGAGGGA